ATGATTGTTTACAAATTTAAAATTCTTAGCATCTATTTTAGTGGTAAAAATCTCATTATTTTTAAACATTCGTTATAGTATCTAGAATTATAAATCTCAAGTTTAGATTCCTATCCTACTCTAAGTGCACACAGCGCTGTCCATTAACGCGGCTGATCATGTTACGCGGCTAAATTGTAGAACAACGCTGCTCCATCCAGGAGTATCGTATTACCGATTTATGATGGATAACTAAAATATTCCATATCCTACGTAAATGCGCTCTAAATAATTCTTTTAAATGTAACTCCTTATTTAGGTCTCTGTTATTGTACTTGCATTATCGGCTTAATCTTCGAGTAAGCCAGACAGAGACATTTTAGATAGCCTAAAGTGACTCAGCATACGTCAAGATAAAGAAACTTCCCAAACATGTTTCAGTTGGAAATCGTTTCGCGCTTTTAATTTATGTAAACATATTTTTGATGCACTTATTTTCCAAAATTGATCCTTGTAAATGATACTTCAGCAAAACTTTCAAAAACCGTAAGTTTCATCTAGGAAAATAACTAGTACAGTTTTAGCTATAATCTAGGATCATTTTTGTTGCTCTTACATAATATGATAAGTATCGGATCTCACCATTCACGCCTACATTAAAATTCCTGCTGTATTTATTGTTACATATAATATTTATTTAGCGGTTTGAATAATGGCTAGATTTAGATAGCTTTGTCGATATTAAATGCCAATTTTTTTTTTAAAGCAAAATAATTCAACATCGTAATCTTGACTTGTAGTACCATTCTCATATGTTCTCAATAGCGTAAAACATGTAATTTCAGATTTAGCACATATCCCAGTTTCATAAGGTTATCGACCTTTTCAGAAATAACTTTACGTTTCTTCCAAACGCTATATTTAACATTATATAATTTATTTTCTATTTCACGATTAAGTACATATTATATTTAGTTACTAACTGTACCTACTATTATCTCAATACTGACTTAATCATCTTTTATCGAGGTCGTTTTAATAAGTAGTTGCAGCGCTTATCTAACTCTACGATAATGGCTCCATAAAAACAAGTGAAAATCACTCATTCGAAAATGATGCCGAGTTAACCTGGCCGTGATCAGTAGTTTGCTGGTGAATCTCGAGCTCTATTATCTCATCGCGTGGTCGTCGAATGTACGTGGCGGCAACCCTCAAAAATTTATCATCGGTTTGTTTCGTTTGACTGTGCAGTGTGTGTTTAGGTCGGTCGCGTCACGAGTTTCTCGAGTGCGCCGTCGCCGCCAATCGCCGCGCGTATCATTCGCGCCACGGATCTCACCGACAGCGTACACCCCATGCGTACACCCTGCCGCCCACTCTGTGAAACTCACGATCTCAATCAGCTGTTCGATTCGTAAACTACGCATAAACGCACAAACTTTTTTTATTTCAAAACCGAACCCAACTTTGTCGAAAAATGGTAAGCAGTGGTATATTTGTGCCAAGTAATATAGTGAATAGTGAGTGTTATCGTGTTTTTGTCGTTCAGTGTTATGCTAATTGTGGCTTTTCAATATGACAGAGACGGTAGACGGAATATTCATTGACGGACAGAATTATTGGTACCTAAGTAGACAATTTAGATTAGTGTTTATCTCAAAATTCATTTTTGACTCCAAAATATTGAAATAATGTTCTTATAAGTTGTTATAAAATATTTCATAATATTTTTATCGCTGTGGATGTGTAAAATTTACTTCGTGATATCAGTTATAGAATTGAAGTTAAAGTATTTGTATCGACAACGTAATTATAACGCGATCATGTTAAAGTGTAGTCAATTTGAGTATATAATCATTCAAAAGCAGAAATCCAAACCAGTTACAGTGGCTGAGCGTCTGTACACTGCGCTTATGGCTGAGTAGCGACTTGTTTTTGAGATGTGCTAAAATTAGCGAGCGCTTCCCGCGCTGTCCTCAGCCGTTGGTTATGTAACCGCGCCACCGCGCACCGGCCCGGCCTTGACTCCCGCGCCGATCACACCAACACGCCATTGGCAGGCCGATGCGTTTATTTTGAAATTAATATGTGAAACCAATATGTGCATCTCGTGTAATAACTTCTGAATGTGTTACGATTTTAATCTAATATCCATGTGGTTCATTTCTATAAAAAATTGAAATTTTCCGACTTCCAAGTAACAATTCAGCAGTTAAAAGAAAAAAGGAGTATTAATAATAACATTATAATATATTCACCATCGTTTATTTTATTGCACGTTACTGCACTCATTATATTGCACGTGCATGTTTATTTTCCAATCAAAGAAGACAAAATATTCCGTTGTCTTTTCAACTTTATAGACTCTACTATCAATGAATTTAGCATTATATATTTATAGATCGAACGCTCTCTTCTGATGACGCTACTATCGTCTTTACTATATATTGTAATGGTGAATCTTATTAAACGCGACCTTGGAGCCCGTGCGTAAATATTCATAGTGTTTACGGTAACGTCTACGTTACGTTGACATTTTGCTAGACTGATTATGGTATTCACTATGGCTCCTCTACTACTATTAACATTTAGGCATTATTAATCATTTTTTTAATATAATTTTTTTTTAGTTCACTGAAAGAGATCTCTTTCAGAGATAAGTCCTTAGCTCACATTTATGCCCACATAAATTGTTTATGTGTATACCTACCTGTTACAATTTTATAAAGAATATGTCTTTATTCGTTGGGGTCTAAGGGCCTTTGGATAATTTTATGCATACTTATTGAGGGGTTTAATTCGCAAATATAAATTCCGACAAGTTTTTATAGAAATTTATCTTATTCTTTGTTTGTACGATAATACATTTTCGTTTTTTTATTAATAATTTATTTACAACTAATCCTTTTTGATTTTAAACAATTTAATATTATAAATTATTGTTCAAGTAAAAATTGGACTTTCCCGATATTTTTATTTTTATGTTTAATTATCTGATTGCTATTTTATAATTTATTGAGGTATTCTTTACAAGTTATATAAAAAAAATGTCTAATATAATGGACGGACTAGACGGACGAATGATAAAACTTTCAACACGCCTCGAATAGTGAATCCTACAAAGTGATAAATATAAATGACAAGAAAATCAAAGAAGACACGTGTTTATAAAATAAGAAATTTGGCTATAATGAGATGACTTAATATGAATGCCCTCGACCGTCAGATATAAGTGTTGAATTGCGTTGCCCGTTCACAGAATCACGGCCAAGGTCAGACATGTAACATCTGAGTTGCTTCATGTGATACTTCCTCATATCATCTGTTTGAATACTTATAAACAATTATCAAATATAGCTAAAAGTTTAATACATTCAATTTTGGCGTTTAAACATCAAAAATTTCAATTGTGAGGTTATTATGTTCACTTTTGCCTTCAAAATTAGTAGCTACTTTTATTTTTAGCAAGTAACATCTCTTAATTCTGACAGAATTTTCTGTAGGCCTTGTGGACAGGACGTCATATCTGAATCTAACCGGCAATCGATACCGCATGGAACTCTGCGCGCGCAATCAGTTTCACTTCCATCCTAGTGAATGGCCGTTTCAACGAAAACATGGGGGATTTGGGCAGGGGGTGAACGGACAAGGTCGTTAGCAAGGCCGAGCTTACTACCATCTGTACATCTCCTTTCTACATTGCAATCTCCCATTCAACTGTCTTCCTCTAACAAATTCACTTTCGAAAGCAACGTAAACCCACGACCAAAACACACCCTCTTACGATATATGTCTGGCTCAGGATGAATTGACTTTTTGGCAACATCTATTATACGTCACAAAAATTGCCATTAATTTGCCAAGCGGCGCTTCCTCCAGTATTATTTGTATTTGATGCGTAAATCAATACGTTCTTACCTGAAAATGACAAGTATATTTTGGTGATTTGTTTACAGGAACGTTTAATAGATATTTTAGTTATACTTCTCAATGTAATCTGCGTATTAGCCACGTATACGGACAGCATATAAAACACTTTATAGTGCTGTTACGCAAATTAAACAATGTAACAATTGTTATTTAACTATTTATTGTATAAACTACTTGCCAATACTTGCATTGAACGTAATATAATTATGTAACATATTGTCTATAATTAAGGAAATGAATAATTCCGCTGATACAGTAAATATAATATCTATTAGGTTAATGAAAACTTGAACTGTAGTTAACTGTCAACATTCTTATCGATAGATCGGTAGTTTTGACGTTTTGGAATTACTGACGCAAATATATCCCTGAGGAACAATTCTTGGGTTATCTTGGTAGCTTGACATTTATTAATTAATCCTGTACTTTAGTAGTCAATGCAGTAAAGATAGCATTTGTTTAAACTATCGATTAGATTGTTTATTTAAATTAACATTAGCAGCGAGACAGTCAACACTGCGATTTTTTTAATTTTACTAGTTATAATTAAAAAAGTAAACATCTTAATAAAACTGTGACTTGAATTTTGATATATGCGGTTTTTGCTCTTGTTTCCTTTAAATTAGGAAAATTAAAATCCTCTAGTGAGCCAAAAAATACTTTTTTTTATTTTTTGTAAGTTTTGTGGTTTCGGTTCCAAAATATTTCCATCTTATTTCAATACATTCTTTGTCTGTATTGTCAAGTCATGCCATCTTATTATTATCGAATGCCAGGTAGCCGGCTTTTCATAACAACGAAACGAGAAATAAAAGCAAAATTGTCTGTATTATTCTGATGTATGACTTCTATAGATGTACGTCGTTTAACATCGACCTTGAAGTATTGTTGGCTTATTAGTCGCTTCCACATACGTTTAACATCGCGACACTAATATATGTTAGGATTGCACTTATGTTTATCTATTAGCACTAGCATCACTGTTAATATTATTAACAATGTAAACATAGTTTTATAAATCACTCTTTAACGGTAGACTATGTTTCTATTTTTATCGGCCTTATTTCTATACTTCTATGACTTGTTCACAGCGGTATCGAGTGCAAAGATGAAGTGTTTGCTGCACACCAAGTGCAGCACGCAGACTTAAAGCCAGTGGTGGCATCGACTGCGCCACTGCCTCCACAAATCATTGTGTCTTCTGAACCCGCCAACGGGGCTATAGTGGAAGCTATTATCCCAGAGGAACGTCCTATACCTGTTACAGAACTGATATTTGCACCCAGAAAGAAAGAAATGAACAAAGGATTTCTGATGTTTTCTCCACACGAGGGACTAACAAGTGAGTGGCACTTGAACGGCAAAAAAAGCTTAGGTATCAGTTGCTTGCTTTATTGGAATAGTTTTTGCTTACAAGAAGTGTGTTTCAACTTATTTGATATTTCAGTGCTTAAAGACGAGCCGGAAGATCTGACTCATTTGGCACCTACCGCCGGTGATGCTTGTATACCACTGGAAAACAGTCCTTTTGATATGTTTGATGATTTTATACTGAGTGATAACTACTGTAGCTTACTTGGTGATGAATTGGATAATGGATCTCCCGTGGACTCTTTGATCGGAGACTCCTTGTTGTCTTCTCCTGAGCCGCAGGTTTGTACATTTTATCATTCAATTTTTACTATATATATTTTATATATTTTTATTGTCTCTTAATAATTTATGACATTTAATTATATTAATATTTCTTGCAGGAAACTGAATCATCATGTGAACAGTCTTCCCTCTTGACAGAACTGTCATTAGATGCATTTAGTAATAGATCAGATAATGAGATAGATGATGGAAACTCTCCATTTATCCCCACTACCGATGAGCTTCCGCTCTTGGAGCCGGCCGTCATGTGGGGAGCACTGCCTGACAATGTAAGCCAGGCGAGGCCACAGCCTTCAGAGCTACAGAGTTCGGCACCGGCACTGCAACGTTTACTTGCGGCTCCCCCGACTGGCCCGCCACCACAAGATCTCATTACTAATATTTACTCAGACCAAGGTTAGGACTTAACTCACAGTGACTAATCAATATGTTCAAAATATTAGATTATGTTCAACAAATATGATATTTATCACAGTGACTTAAATGAATTGTTGCGTTAAATAACTTCTTTTCATGCTTGCATAAAGTAATGTGTAAATAAATAACTGGAACAAATATTTGCGCGCCATTCAATTTATAACGACGTTTAAAACGTTGAATATAAGCTGATGTAATCTGACACCAATTTTTAATTTACTTTGTTTACAAATTAAATTCCTTTTCAGGTCTTATTCCCAGCAGAAGTGTATCCTCATGGGATACGGGTGTGAAACGAGTGTTGAAGCAAGATGAAGAGCCAACTGCGAAGCGCGTGAAACGCAGTCCATCCCCAACAATTAGCACACAGTCCGCCCCCGTTAGTACGCCATCCTCAAGCGTCTTAATGAACCTTCTGGTGAGCGGCTGCGACGTTGAGTCCGGATATATTTGTATGATCCGGCCGAGGCAAAAAACAAAAGCCTGAAACAACCCAAACTCTACTCAATAAACTGTGATAATGCACGTCCAGTGATCGATTATATTGCCCCGCGCTATTCGTCTATCGTAGAATGAGGTCATATCTAAAAAGTAACTACTTTAACAGCGAAGTCATTTCAATACTTAAGCCAATACCATCTTTTAATAAGTTTTTATTTAGTAGTTCCACTTTTAGATATACTTGTATTCTATGAAAGTCGCGACTTATGTTTCGTGACCGGTACAATTCTGGATCGAATACGAATTTCTTAACAGTGCCGTCAATTCTTGTGATATTACTACTGTTTTTATACTTTCAGGATCTAAATTACTATGATTCCTATGACAATAAACAAACCGTGTGGAGACAATCAAATTGTTTGAGTTACCAAATCTCAGACTTGTAGTTAATCTTCGCAGGCTTGTGTAATTATGTACACGCCTTAGTCTGCAAATAAATGTTCAATCCCTCCACGACCGCGGACACGCCGGCGTTCAGTTAACAATAGATTTCTTAGAGTTTTAATTTATTTCTTAGAAATTTACCTGGAGGTGTTATATAGTTTTGAATCAAAACAACACAATAATATTACCCTTCATAGAATATATTGTTACCTTTGAATACTTAAGTTTTACTCTTATATTCTTTGGTGATCGTTATAAAGATATTAATTCTAAGTAGGATACGAAATTGTAAGCAAACGTTTTAGTCGTATTCTAGTGCTAAGTTAGAACGGGCGCATATCTATGTGGTTATGAACAATTTTGATTCCTAGATTTTAATAAGGTCTGCCGCGCCTTCAGTCTTATGTTTTAGGTTCGATTATTTAATAGACTTTATATTATACCTACTTTGGAAGGTCATTGCTATTTATTTTTTATTAAATTATGCGTAGTTAGTACCTTTACTTGTTTTTATGTTTAGATAAGACTAGCGCAGGTCTTTATAGTAGTAGTATGCCGTTGTAAAATTATTCAGAGTTTATATTAGCAAGACTAGATTTAAGGCAGTTTGTAGACACGATTTGCTAGTTTAGTTATTTAACTGTCGTCACTGCCAAATCATACAAAGTACAACTTATACGAGTTTAGTTGTGTTACAAGTTTTGTTCGTTGATAACTATATATTCGTAGCGTTCGATTTATTAGTATTTTTTTACGTTTGATGCAATGATTTTGTATTTAAGAAATTTTTAAGCAGCTACGGAATACTCGAATAAGAACCTGATGCGCTTGGCAATCGTCATAGCGATTTTAAATAAATATACACATAATATATTTAAAAGACGTAAATCTATGTATGTAGAAGTGTAAAACTTATCATCGTTGTTATTCAAATTTATAGTCTAAGAGGACGGATGTGTTAGAAAAGTATATGATAAAACTTTTATTTTTTGTGAACGCTAATATGAATGCCTGATGAAATTAATAAATGTTCGATATTAAAAGAAACTTGAACATAGGTGAACTGGTGCACATTGATTTTATTTACCCCCCAATCTGTTCCTGTCCTGCTATCCTACCTAAAGTATTAGCTATTATCTCAAACTTAATTATTTGTTTTATAAAGAAAAATAGGATTTTAAACTTATATATTGACATTAATTATAAAGTAGTAATCGAAAAATGTTATTGAATTCAAAATATTATCGCCATCAATCTACTATATAATATTATTTATCTTCAATCCGAGAAGTTTCTGCTAGCTATAACATTTTCCTATTTTAAAATCTCGTCGAATTTACAAGTGTTTAAACAAAATTAAATTAAGGTCTTAGCCTTTTTATTATGAAACGAATGCAGCAAAAAATAGGTACATATATGCATTATGTCTAAAAGGATCTTATCGTTTTAATAATAATAACATTTCTTTCTTATTACTTACTCTGGTTTCATTATAGACAACATAAATGATTACGAAATGTGCTATAACGCTTAAAGGTATTTAATCAACTTGAAGTAGTAAAAACTGTTATGTCCAATATTCGGAGCCAATTAGAAGTCTTTTAAAACACAAAGGGACCGCCACTCTAAATGCTGTTACATTATTACAGTACAGCTCAGATGTTCGTTGTTATTTAACCCTCTACGAGTTTTAATTTAGTATTTTACTATATAGAGTTAAATATTAGAAATCTCTATTTATTGTGCCTTTCTAATAATAGTGCTAAAAATAATATACTTTAGTATAATTACGATTAATAAAATACATATACTGTGTAAGTACAGTTATATGAATAGGCATGCTTTAGGTTTTGAGATTTAATTTACCTAAATGCCTCTTACGTAATAAAGACATCAGCAAACCTATCTTTATTTAGTTAAAATAAAGTTATATAATTGTTAAAACTAGCACGATCTAGAACAATTCGTTTCATGATGCCTGTAAGAATTGTTACAATTTTTTATCTTACAAGATTTCAAGTTAATTCCGCTTCGGATTGCTGTGGATTGAAACAATGTGTATTGACTTAGTATTCAACATAGCCTGTTTCAATGACTTTAAAGTCAAAGATATTTATTGTTAAAACCCTATTTCAAATAAGATAAGGATGGTAGAGTAATTTTAAAAAAACATCTAAATGTAAATAGTTCTAACGCAGACCGACTCACACAGGCTCGACACAAGGCCTAAATCAGACGGTATTAAATGAAATTTTTGTCATGCTCCTTATATAATGTGCTTATCTAATAAGATTAAAGATATTAAGTTCAATAATAAGAAAAAAATGTTAAAATCGTCTTCCTAAGAGGGTTAGAAAACTCTGAATTCGTTTGTTTACATAAATCCCTATTCACAATTGATAAGCTTTCTTGAAATGGTATTTTTATCCCATGTTCCCACATAAAGTATAAAAAACTGATCTTTAAATAAATTCTGTTCGGAACTCTCACTTCTTAAAGATAATTCAGGTTTAAAGTATACTTAAGCACTAAAAGAAACCCTTCTTAATTACCTTTATCAAGAATTTTAATATGAGACATTAAATAAGTTTGTTGTATATTCTTTATTTTTATCTTATTAATATAATAATATTATATTATTATTGTATAGTCTGTTTTTAAAATTCTAAGGAGATTCGCACTTATGAGTATTAGTGTCGCGTCGCGTATGAAAAGGCCAATGTCCTACCAAACAAACTAATTAAAATGTACATAAATAAATTAATTTAATAGAGACATATTATGTGGCAAGATATATTTAACAAAACTAAGAGGAAAACTGAGGTCTTTTTACATATTATTTACATCATAACAATTTGTCAGCATCCTCAGCGACAATCACTAAACGTTGTCTAATTTTCTGCTAAAATAAATAACTTTAACATAAAATTCAAATCACATATGAAGGATGTAGTAAAAAGTTGATTGTTTTGAAGGAAAAAAGGCTATCTCGGATTAGATAGTAATGTGCGACACCCGGCGGCCGGGACCATAATAAGTGGGTAGATAACAAATAAAAACGAAGCGAAAATAAAGATAAAGCTTGGTCAATTTAACCTTTGTCCAGAATTCATTGTGATCTATGTTAGAGGCTAGTCTTTGTGGTATGTAAAACTATATTGGATTTTAAAAAACGATTCTTAAATGTAACATAATCATATCTGCGTTATTATAGAAAATAAGAAACTTTGACGTCTTAAATGCGAAATTCTTGAGTAATACGTGTTAATCTAAATGTCGTCAACCGTAAAGGCATTTAAATTATGTTTAAGGTTAAAGCTAATACTTTATCATTTCCATATTCTTATTATGTAAGCCATATCAATGTGCAACAGTTAACTGATTATTTTCTTGTTATTTTGTAATAAGTTAATTATCTCATACTAAAACATATTTTTGTGTCTTACAGGATATGCAGCCGGAAGGGAAGCAAATGCAAAAGCCGAGTCCTAACTACCAGCTTGTCATGAACACACAAAGAGTGGAGTCCCTGAGCCCTGTGAACAGAAATATCCCGATACCCGTCATAAACATCATTCAATCCACACCGAATAAACAAATGATGCGTGCCAACCCAATACCAAGCCAAACTACGCTTTCTGTTGCCAGCCCGATGTCCCCCCTTACTTTGAATGTAGGCAGCCCTATGTATTCTCCATGTGTAAGCCCCAACACCACATACAGCCCTGCAATCAGCCCCACACCAAAAGACCGTGTTTTAAGCCCCTACTCCACTCCTCAATCTCTGTCACCGGCTGGCAGTTATCAAATGTATAGCCCCAACAGGCTTCTCTCACCAACTGGCGTAATGCAGGGCTACGACCCGTATCTCACAAATAAAATGCAATCGAGCCCCGGATTCGCACTCCAGTCCACAGACATGCTCCTCGATTCTAACATACCGTTGACATCGACAGACTTTTGGCCCGACTCGGAAATGTTACAAGGCACCAGCGAGTTGCTAACCGCCTTCGACGACGTAAAGCTAGTATAAGATTTTGAATGTTTGATATGAGTGATTTCTCATCTCCATTGGAAAATTGTGGGAAATCTGAATGAAATTGCTTTAAACTGTAAACATTTGCAACAATGTCGGACGAGTCGTCTTTTATCTGTTATTCACTTCACACAAACATTCCAATAGAAATGGTGCTAGAAATAATCTTTTTCTCTCATTAGAAATCACTCGAATGTATGCAGGGTCAATGATAGATAAAATAATCCCAATGGATTCCACGTTTCCTCATAGTTACCTTTTAGACCAACGTTTTTCATGTGCACAACCACTGACAATTTATTTATATAACATATCCAATGTTGATGTTTTTTTGATAAATTTTATAGAATTATATAATTATAGTATAGATAAAGGTATATAATGATTTCATGGCTATTGGTGGAATCCACGGTGATACAATAATGTGACTTAGTGTGAAAGGTTTTACTAATGTTAAGAGTATAGATTATGTCACTACTATAGATGTGTGTGGGTGTAACGTAAGTGTAAGCGTAATTACGACAATCAAATTTATGGAAATATTGGGCAAACTTATATTTTACGTTTAATAAATATTATTTTCTTTAAAAATTAATTATAAAGATATGTGTATGATATATTGAAATATTAAAGTATCGCCCTTAAATTGTACACAATGATGTGTTTTATTACTAATTCAGACGATTTAAGTAAGTTAATTGTTTTTGTATGATCAAAATTTATATACTCAGCTAGAAACTAAGGAACAATGAAAATGAATTGCCAACACTGTCAGCATTCAACAGTGGTTCGATTCTACAAAGGCTTACAAAGCATTATGAAAATATGTACTAACAAAATATTTTAGAATTATTTAACAAGAAATTTTATATCAAAATGTTTAAATTAAACTGTAGTTTATGAATGGATATTGTATCAAAATCTTAATCCAATCGAATATTTTGATGTAAAATTTATTTTTTAATGAATAAATTTTTGATTTGGCTGCACTTTTAATGGACCGTCAAATGGTTCATATGAAAGCATTTCTTTCACAAGACTAAAGCAGTAAGTAGTTTTGTACTCGAATAAACATATTTATTTCTATGTACTTTTCTTTGTACTAACGTGCTTAGCATAATTAATAACAACTGACAAGTATATAATTCTTCGCCGTACATTACAAGTACAATACTATATATTATATAAACTGTTACATAAAAATGGTATAACGTCATTAAATGCAATCATTTAAATCTCGTTAAGTTGTTACGAGTAAATTTTAGTTATAAATAAGTTTTAATTATCGTGTTAAGATCACGTTTGTTTTTATTCTATAAAGCATTATATAATATTATAAATTGACACAATTGTAACAATCATATGTTAGCCTTAAACTTGACAATTTGACGGCACTTTAAATGGGAAGTCTCACAATTGAGACCGTCAGCGCAAAAGTAGTCTAATCCACTGACAGCTACTTTGAAAATGGCTGTTAAATATTTAAATATTATTTTAAAAGTTATTTATAGTTTTACATAAAGCGCTAACTTGAGTTTCAAAGGTTTTTTTTGCGTTTTTGACTAATTTTCTTATGAACTAAATTTGTTATAGACATCTAATAACTATTTTTCAAAAATAAATGTGGGTAAGCCATTTTTGTATTTTGAATATTTATAATTTTTGAGATACATTTGAGGGTTAGGCCAAAAAGTATGTTAACTGTTCTCCTGCTGTTATTATGATTCTAAATTTTATTCATGATACATTAATGCCTACGATAGCATCTCATTCAGCCTAAGCGGCAATAATGGCAATGCAAGTACACTGGGTGGCTTAGACTGTTTTTGCGTTTCCAAAAAGTAGAAATAATTAAAATGCATAAACAACTTTTTGCGGCATTTTTTATTTATAAATAAACATCCTGGTCTTCTGTAAATCTGTAAAACTTTGTAGTATTTAAGTGAAAAACAAAAAGAATATGAGCTAGGCAGTTCTTGCACTGACGGCCTGTTATGTAGCTAAGATGGCGCCACTAGCATTTTACGTCAAAAATTAATTACATATATCTGTTTTAGGTACAATTAAAATATACTCAGCGTCAACTGAAGTAAAATGGATGTGTACTAATAATATTAAATTAACATAATCAAGTTGTTATTTCGTTTTAAAATCTAGTGGCGCCGCAAACGGCAATAAGTCGCATTAAAACATCTCATTTAGCCGCAATACATTTCATTAGGTGGATAGTTAAAATGTTTATTTGTTTTAAAGTTTATTATTACTGTATTATTATATTTACCTTACTACTGCCAATCATCTTTCATTAATCTTTGTGAAAATTGAGTTTGGAATAAATGTCAACTGTGCCATAGATCATAAAATATCTATATATTCAAGTTATATTCATCTATACTGTGTTTATGATTCTGTGTATACATTCAACTATGGTATATATTTTTTAATTTGGAAATAAATAGCTATTGTAAATAAATAAAAATTCGGAATATTCTTTTATATATTTTGAGATTAAATTTCTGTCATTTATAATGTCGTTTTACTTATAAAAAATGCTTGGTTTCATATAACGGAATATTAATTAATTAAATTATTCTGAAATATTCAATTCTATTTTCTTGTTAATGGATTTATTAAAAATTTTAATTGTTCTTACTTAGAGTATTTTTGAAAAACAATATCATTTACGTTTATACCTTTTTGGGATATATTTAAAAAAACTTAAGAAAATAAATCAATAGTGGCATTTATAAACTCTCTCTTTGGATAAATTATCTGTACTTAGAAGTTTCTACACTAGAGAACTATTAATATAAAATATTAACTATAATATAAAATAAATAGGTATACGTAATTATAATTTATGTTACAAAATCAATAAAACGTACATGGAAACTTATATAAACACAAAAGTAATAAGTATATAAAAATACAATTAAAAATAGTATTGTATTTTTTTAAAAATAGGTGAATTATATTATGTGTTATAAATTATATTATTGTATAATCTGTTTTATACTATTGAGCGTAATAAAAAAGTCTAGGTCACATAATATTAACTTTATATTCGTGGAGTTTCTAATGACATCTATGCGTTATTTCTTAAACTAAGGAGTTACATAAACTCTTGTTTCTTCATATTTTCAACTAGATGGCGTTAATGGAATAAGTATTATAAAGAATGATTATAGATTTTTTACCTGTTTTATAATACATAAACGTATATTACATATATAATAAATAAATTATTACAAGATTAAATATATAATTCAATTCACATCAATCCTTAGTTTTGGACAGTAGTTGGACGATTGACGTTACTGTTTTTTTTTCAATTTGGCAATTGTCAATTGACATTTGAGTCTGCATTTGACATATGTCATTCATTGTAAACGAATCAGTGGAGTGTGTAACTGTGTAACGAAATTTAATATATGCAAATTGCAAACTTTCGGCGGTTGTGATATTATTATATTTAATAATGAAATAAAATAAATAAATTTTAATTGGGGTGTTCTATCTTGTTCATTTCAAATAAACGGTTGCTGTATTTTCGTTGTGCTCATGGCTTCTACACCAAAACAAGCAAATGGCAATTTGCCATTGAACAACGGTTCCGGTGGAAAGCGGAAAAAATCGCGTGGAAATAAAGGAAGCTACTTGTCGAAATGGCTAGACAAAACAATGCATCACATTCAAGAATCAACTCCAAGTTCTGATGTATACGATACATATTTAAATTCGAGTATGAACTGGCCAATGGGTAGTCAGTTTACTCCCGGTTACGATCCTTATAAATATAATATGTACGGCTGTGCATCTGAACCCATGTCACTTCCCTCATTACCAACATATTATAATCCACTAGTGCCTCCGCCGTATTCTGACTATCGTTACCTGCACAATGAAAACAAGAGCATACAGGTACAAAGGCCACGACCTCGACGACGCAGCGAGAATAAAGCTGAAGAAGTATCAAGTACTCCAGTTAATGCAAACCAAACTAATTATTTGCAACCAAAGAATTTCTCCGATAGTCAAGACTTCACTAGTCTGCCTCCTATAGTAACTTCTATGGGTGATTCAAATTCTAATAGTGATTTGCAGACTAATGACAAAGACGATGGTAGTAATGCGAGAAGGTACAGTGATCCATGCGTTAGGGGATTGCCTGATGTAGCCAGACCTGCTAATGGGGAGGTAGACTCAGATTCAGAAGCTAGCTCGGGTCTATCAGGCAGTCAAGTTGGCAGCCGCCTTTTATCATGCCTACTTGACCAAATAGCAGCACTGAAAATAGCTAATGATAGATTAAACAAGGAATTGCAGGAAACAAGAGGTAGGTTAGAATAAATGCTATAAAGGTTACATTTTCCCCTGTTCTTTACGTAATTAAATTTTGGAATTTGTTACTATACATAAAAGTAGAATTGCCCACTATTCAGCACTCTATATCTATCACATCTTCTATCACATATTTGCTTATTCATTTTGTGCCTTATAAACTAAAAAAATATTATTTCTCAAAAATCAACACATTATTATTATTATGTAATACAAGCATTACTACAGTTTGATATGAACAAATGCTGTAAATATATTTTTTAGTATTGAAGATAAGATATTAGATAAATTTCAAATGTTACATTTTATGTGTTAACTTATTATTTATTTGGGTAAAGTATGTACATCACAATCCTATACTAAATATTATGTCTAAAAATAACAATGAAAACTATAATGAGCCAAACAAATAATAATAACTAATAATATATATATAAAGAAATTCAAAAAAAACACAAAACAAAATAAGGCACACAGTAGGCAGCCATATGGCTATAAGCAATCTTTTCCTTGTAATCTAAAATGCTCATTTTTAAAACATTTGTAGTACTTAATATAATAAATATAGTGCTTATATTTTATATCATACATAATGTGTATTATGTAAATGTAAATGAATATTCATATACATTTAGTTCCTACTAAAATCTTCAAGATTTATTATATGTAAAAAGTATTAGGAGTATAAAATATTATAGTGTTAATAAGAATATAATGAGATTTCAATATTTAACTTATACTTTTGTTAAACAATTGGTCAGGTGTATGCAACCTTGCAGCCTACAGCAAAAAGTCCATAAGAACATTCAAATATCTATTCACCTACACAATATGATGCAAGGAGCCTCATCATGTTACATTTATTATAAAAAATATCACAGTAATACAATTCTAAGACAACAACAAGGTCATTTGATGCAATCAAAGACTAGTAAACTGATATTCAAGAGATCTATCTATCTATGCATTGCATAGATACAATTAGAAAAAACCTTTACATGTAATTATTTTAGCTCTAATAAGGAAATTGAAAGATTTTGTAACATTAACCTATTTAATGTAAAAATTGTGTTGTGATATTAATCATAGTCCTATTATATAGTTTGAATAATATAGGTATTTATACTTCAAAAGTAATAAAAAAACATGCTTTCAACCAATAGTAATGTATGGGGCTTATTAAAAAGAATGATTCCAATTTTGAAGGTTTTATTAAAAACCAATAAAGACTTTCACCAACCACCTCTTCATCAGTTAAAAAATATAAAAATTAGAAGTAGGCTAAACTCGACTTTCTTGATCTTATGTACTATTACTATTATTTTCAGCTGAACTAGAAACTGTTCGACATCACAACTCCTACTTTGCAAAAGTTCCTCCAACAATGGGTGCACCAAATCTTAGTGGGAATGGTAAATATATGCTTGTATTTTAGCTTATCTTCATAAGATTTTATAACTTATCTTTGTAATAGTCCTTATATTTCATCTCCGATATATTTTGCACTTTATTTTTATTTTTGAACTAGTTTTTGCCCGCGTCCGCGTTGTACGCACGTACGATAAGGAGCCTATGTGTTAGTTCAAGATAAAGGTTATCTAAATTCCGAATTTTACTAAAATCTGTTGAGCCATAACATTGTGAAGCAGTAACAAACCTACCAAACTCTCACACTTTTAAATTTGGTTAATTTCTTTACTAACATTAACTTACTAATATGTCAAATATTAATAAATAAAAATTGGTAACTTTTTATTACATATTTTAATAGATATTGTATTTTTACGTAGACATTACTTATACTACTGTGTAATCCATAAAATTAGCCTGATTTGAGTTTATGCCAAATCGATTTATACATGACATGCGAGGCTCTTAAGAGACCAAGAGGGGCTTGTATAAAACAATCTACTCAAGTGCAGTCAATTATATCAATTGGACTTATTTCCTCTTACCGATTACACAATAGCGAAACATAATATACTTATTGGGATCACATATTAGTACATACATAAAGTATATAAATAGCACTCCACGGACAATTTACAAGACAACCTTACAATCTTAAAAGGTTTTAAATGTGGGAGTATCGTAAAGGACAACATGTTAAAAATTGAAGCAAAAGTATTTTTGTTTTCGTAATTCGTAAGAGTGATTGATATTTTTTGAAGTTATACTTCTTTTGGGACGTTTGGAAAACATTATGAGAGTAAAATTTTTACGACGCACGCGCACACCGACAGCCAAAAAGCGACATGATCAAGTTAGCTGAAAACTAGTTGTTGTCATGGTAACCGTTCTTATTGTCTGAAAAATGATATATAATATATACCTATTCTTTGCTTAAATGATATTCTATAAATATATGATTGTAATATGACCTATTTTATTAATTTATCATACCTTTTACAAACAGAGAGTTGTAACATACGGGATGAAATCTTAGCTACTTTTGTTCTGTTACGTCAAAGAAGTATAATTTCTTACGGGCGTAGTGCGTACATAAAGTACACATACACATTTTTTTATCTTTTTAATGCAAAAATACTCGTAGTTATGTATCTACTACCTAGTTACATGTAAATATCAGCAAAATGAATAACGAACTTTTATGAATCATGCTAATTTTAATATAATATAATCGTAGATTATGCACGTAGATGTCTCTACTAAAATCGATGTCAAATTGGTGCTTTACATAAAGAACGATAGTTATTTAAAAATCTTTATTCAAAAATATATATTATGCTTTTTACTCTGTAACGATATAAGGTTATAATTTTTATTCACGTTGGAAAATGTAGATACTAGGTACTTACATATGCTTATCACAGCCTACGAGTAAATGCAGGTGGCTAAGTGGTGACTCACACATAACCACCTATTAAACCCCAATGAAGCCTTCTCCATCTAAATATGAAGTTGCAGGGTCATTTTTGCGTTTAACCGCGTTGTCCCATCGGTACCCAAAGACATCCCGAGGGAGAAGCCAACTCCTGCCGGGCGCGTCCCCAGGTGGCGGATAGGGGCATGCCACCCGCTTAGGGCCAGCGGGTGGTACCGGAGTAATCCGGCGCGGACCAAATATCTTGGTGGGGGCCGCTCGTCGAGGCCTTGAGCCGAAAGGTTCGGCGTTGCGGCCACCGGTGGTGGGACCGCTTTGGCGGTCCCGCGATCGGATCGGGAGATGCTGGTTGCGGGACTGTGGTGACAGGCCTGCGACCGGCAGGGGAGGGGCCGCGGTGGAAGAGGAGTGCCGGTATTTGACGAGTGTCGGTGTGTCGTTGCCGCTCTCCCTTTCCTCTGCAGCCGGATGTGGGGTGGCCCACTTCGGTGGGGGTGAAGGTGCCAGAGGGCGGCCGACTTGGGGAGATTGGTCGTCCAGCGTTCTGGCTGAGGAGGCCATCAGGGGTGGTCGACCATCTCAGCCCCTGACTTTAGGACGGGCCTTAACAGGCACTCGCTGTCGGGGTCACGGAGGAGTCTCTTTGGTACCCGCGCGTTTACCATCTTTGCGCGGCAGGAGCCCCACATAACCCGTCTCGCATCCCCCATTGGCGGGGGGTGCCCGGGAACAGGGTTTTTCCTGACAGAAAAAAAAACGGTACCCAAAGACATGATACCTACTATAATATACTATAATACCCATCACGATCTATTTTCAAGGGAAAAAATTAAAATAAACCATTGCTTATACAGGTGAAAAGATCCTAGGGATAGGTAGTGTCTTAGAGAACCTACCCAATTATTAACTCACAGTAGGCTAACGTTGCTGAACTAAGGCTAATTTTAATGGTTTATTTTCTAGTCATATGACGTTAAAAGGGCTGAATTATAAAACTGTATATAATTATTATTTATTTAACGAATAGGTCATTTTTGCAGGTTCACGACATCTTCTGAAACTTATAATATATTACATCTGATAAAACTTATATTCTAAAGTGATTTTGTTGACTAGAGTATTTTTGACAGAATACCACTAACGTTTCAGTTATAGGAATGTGAGAAATCATAACTCTTTGCCTTGAATTGATCAAATAACAAGGGGTATATTTTATAATTCTAGCTATACCTTAATTTAACTTACAACGTTGGGTGTGTTTTATTTTAATACAGATTGAGCAATATTGATGGGCACACCTAGATAAAGAGTAGCGCACCTCAAAATATCTTTATTTTCAGGAATAGAAAAAATCGTTTTACTCTTTTTCTATGTAATACTATATTAAAAATAATCTTATGTTTTCTTGTATATAAGTTTACGAAGATATTTATTTGATCAATGGCTTGTCATCAACTAGCAGTAAGTATCACTTGAAACCAAGTCAATATCAAACTCTTGAAGATATTTATTTGGAACACCAACTAATCAACTGTACTCGTACCTATATTAAACACCAACTATTCCAAAAATAATTTAATTCTTTCGCGTTAAATTAGTAATCATGACAAAATCATATGGAGTTTATGTATTTTTTAATGCAGATTCCTATAATAGTAATGACCCTAATTTGGATTATTTAGAGTTGTGCTACCGTTTATCTAGGTGTGCGGTATGTTAAGTGTGTATGAAGCCGATAAAAAACTAGTAAATAAATATATACAACTAGCGATTCACCCTCGGTCCGCTCGGGTTCGTCCCTACTTACGTTTTGACTTTTAATATAGATTTCTCAGAGATGAGATATTTTCCCGCAATAAAAAGTATCCTATGTGTTGACCCGGATAACCAGCTATCATCATACCAAATTACATCAAAATCCCTCTAGGGGTTTTTGCGTGATACGGTCACAGACAAACAGACAGATCGACAAAAAATCTAAGAACTATAGATTCGGCTTCAGTGTCGATAATAATATCTATTTCAATAAGATTTTCCAAAAAATATTTAATGTACAGATTCGGCTAAGTTACAATTTTATTAAATGTATAGATATAAGATAATGGGGTATCGTATATTTCCATTAACACGGTAGCTAGCATCTTTCTCCTTCAGTAAACAATAGCTATGCCACTACATACGCATAGTTGTGTGTTCATTTTTTTATTGTTGTTTTGTTCGACGGCGTGTCGAGTTAACGGAACACTTGTATAACTTCAATAACTTGAGTTCCTCGTGCGCTAATATGGAAAGCGCGGTTTTTAATTGGATAGTAATGAAGCGCTGATTGGTTTAATTTATACACGGTATTTTTGGTTTTGTTTTTTACTGGATATTTCCATGGTATGTTATTATATAAGTTACAGATCCAGTATAGACACATTCAGGGAGTTTCAATTTTTTTTTTTTATTTGAATGGTATTTTGGTAGTTTATGTTTCTTGAGAACCGAACTGATAGTTGCTAGAATTGCAGAATGTAAGAATTTTTATGTAACTTTAAGCATTTTTATTGTTGTTTAATATTTAATATAACAGAATAAGATGTATAAACGACTACCGACTCACCCTCGCTCCGCGCGGGCTCTTCCCTAGTTACGTTTTAACGTTTAGTATATATGTATTTCTCTGAGATGAGATATTTTCCCCCAGTAAAAAGTATGTTGACCCGGACAAGCTATCATCATACCAAATTTCATCGAAATCCCTCCAGTGGTTTTTCCGTGTTGCGGTCACAGACAGACTAAAATTCTAAAAACCATAGATTCGGCCTCTGTATCGATAATAATGTCTATTTCAATAAGATTTTCAAAAAAATATTTTATGTACAGATTCGGCTTAGTTACAATTTTATTATATGTATAGATTTAATTGTCAAATCAATGTATCCACCGAAATCAAGCCTATGATGATCGAAATAAGATTATCTGAAAAAAAAATATGTAATATTAGATTATTTTTTTCATTTAAGTATGAATCTTAAATATTATTGACTAAACTTTCAATCGATTATATGGTCTAAATTGTAAGAAATCATTAAGCATTAAGCATTGCGTGCTCCGACCGACCCAGCCAGATAACCTCGGTCGCACTGTGTTCTACCACGCTAATATAAATATGTATGTAGTAGGTAGGTATCTACATTTACTTCTTACAATTTGAGGCTCATAATGGAAGATTCTTTTATTTATTCATGCCAATTACATTCAAAGCAGCGAGTGAAACATGAATTTCAAATGTTCCGTAATTAATTAGCTACGACTGAAGTATTTGTCTTCGCGACTCTCCATCCATTAATTATCATTTTGTTTTACAAATTACCTACATATCTACATCTATACTACTATTATAAAGAGGAAAGATTTGTATTTTGTATGTTTGTAAAACGGGTCTGCCTTCAACACGAGGGGGGTCACGCTTTATTCACCACGCTGGCCAAGTGGCAGGTTGGCAGACTTCACATGTCTCTCGATAACTTGCTAGGTTCTCTCAGACGTGCAGCTTTTCTCACGATGTTTTACTTCACCTTAATACAAATGGTAACCATGCTGTAAATGATTCGCAAATGAAAATATCAGAGGTGCGAGACCCGAGATGGGAACCCGCTTCACTTAGTTTCCCAAGCGAGCGCGTCACCACTTGGCTACTACCACTGCCTTTGTATTGTTAGTATGTAAATATTGTATAAAAAATATATTTGTTTGTTTTGTTATCAAGGTGGGCAATACTCTCCGGGATTCGTCACGGACCTAGTGCGAGAGATCAGAGATGCAGCGCGCATGCGTGAAGACGCCATGTACGCGCGGCTACGAGCCATGGTACTGGAGAGGACTGATGTACGTATAACTGTAATTGAGAAAGCTATGTAATATAGGTAACTGATTAGGAAAAAATATATATTTTTGAGTATGCACATGGTAAATTTATACTTTTTTTAATTTGATACATTTTTAATAGAATTTCACTTGAACAAATTTGTAAAGTTCGTAAAGTTAGGCCACGTATAAACAATTCTGCCTTTAACTTAACTCTAACTCTACCTATATTTGAGATATTTGTGGTTTATTTGACGATTTACTGTCAAGTAGACCGTCTGTCTGCGTAAAAATATAACATTGGTAAATGAGCTATCATATGCTTAACTGAAAAAAAAAATAGTTTTGAAAAATTTAAAATCGCGTTTGACCAACTCTATCAGTATAATGATATTGTAGAAAAATATTATATTTTCAGTTATAATACTCGTAATAGTGTGGTGAAGTGACTTTATATAATAACTGTCAGAATGCGATTAAAGAAAAATAAACACTTATCTAAAATTTTATTCGTACACGGTGTATAATAAAATTATTTTTGCCATCGGCATGCGTGAAAAATATTTATATGCATTGCTATAACCGTCCGTCCGTCCTTTTCAAAATATCTTGGCGACACTTCAAGATTGCGTTTCATTTCTTATAGGACGTGTGGTTTCAGCAATGAGGAAGACACGTTGATGTTTACAAAAGTTATCAGTATGCAATCTAGGGTCACCTCTATTTATTAATTAAAAGCTTTTAATGACTTTGCAATGATTGTAGTTGATATTTTTATATGGATTAAATCTTACAAGCTGAATAAGAACCTTTAGAACTTTCTCTTATCCAACAGAGTTTAAACTTACATGTCCAGTTCCTATGACAGTAACTTTTCATGATAATTATGACTTGATGCTTCATTTAAAATTGGCTCCAGACGAAGTAATACAACTCAAAAACTTCCTTCCTGTTAAAACTTCTGACACGAAGTTTTATACGCGTATTTCAATTTTATATTGTTATAGCCTGTGCGCGAATTTTGATCAATTATGTCAGTAAGTGGACATCTTTATTTTGGAGCAGTAAGTTCTCCTTTCGTAAATAAATATTACATAGTTTATTTTACGCGACGTTACAGTAGCATACCTACACGTGGTTTTGTTATTGAACATATCTTATATACGATATAAGTTTATTTTCTCTCCTTTCTTGCCAAACGCTTTAAAAAGTAGGATAATTTTTCGATATTTTTTTTTGATAAATCTAAATTCAAGAAAATGACCTATATTACATCTTATAAATATTTTCCATTTATTGGTATATGGTGCATTATGCTTAATAGTAGTGTCCACTCGCACTTTCGGCACAGGTTATTTAATATGTATTTACTACGTAACTCTCGCCTAAACTAATAGTAATATGAAATATCAGTGAATGTGAAAACTCTTTCGATGAAAAGGAACTTATTTACGCATTTATAATAGTTTTATTTATGTTACTATATTAATAGATAATCGATGAATCGTAATTGTAAAAAATCTTATTGAATGTACGACTGTTAAAGAAAATCTTCAATTATCAACATATCTAGCTAACCAATAACAGACCTATAACCTATTTTCAACCGACTTCAAAAAGGAGGAGGTTCTCAATTCGACTGTATGTTTTTCACTTCTTATTGCTTATTTAGTTTTGCGCCCTGACTTGTATTTGCTTTTTTTAAGCTTACACCCGAAAAATATTGTTTCTCATGTACACTTTGTCAATACTTTAGAAGATAATTTAAAAAAAAAGTCTTGTAATTTATTTCATTATTGATTTATATCGCAACTGTTTACTTACACTCGTTTCGCTGTGGTGCGTCCGTTTTAAATAGATAAAAAATAGTTATCGTGAGTGTACTTTATTAGTGTGTTCCACATACAAAACTTAAACGCCTATTTCACCGTCTTCAAGTTTTATTTTCGCGACAAAAAGTACCTACCCTTTGTCCTTCTTCAATGTTCCATTTATCTCTATACCAAAATTTATCAAAACTGGTTCATTGATTTAGGCGTGAAAACGTAACAAACAGACAGACATACAGTTACTTTCGCATTTATAATATTCGTTTGTATTGACCCTTTAGATCCAATGGTTAGATCTGGAGTCTAGACGAGGATGAGTCAAGACAAAGAACTTATTTGACATTTTACATTTCTGTGACCTCGTATACTTGTATAACTTCGTCGTTATTATTTTATTCGAGCAAATCAATACCTCTGTTAGTAATTGCATGAAGCTTTTGACCTTCATTATTGATCTTAGAAAGAAAACTGAATAAAGTGTAGTACATACTTTTAAGCCATATTATGTTTTGGTCTTATTTAAAGAAAACCTATACATTTATACAAATATTATGTTTAAATATTTTAATTTTGAGAAACATTACCAGGCATCATTTCAGGTATTTTTTAAATTTAAACTCAAAATATATTTAATTATTTTTTTCCTAATTCTCTTTATTTTCTATTAGGTATATTTTATGTTTTTCAAATTATTATTTTTCTTTTTGCTGATTTTGAAACTGAATGATTTAGGCTATGTTTTATTCTGATATTTGATGACATGTTTGGCTCAGTTTGTAGTGATCCTACTTGCTGCGCCAGCGGTCGTGAGTTCGAATCCTGCTGGGAGCCATTTATTTGTGTGATGAGCACGAATGTTTGTACTCTAGTCATGTGTGCTTAATATATTTATAATATGTATGTATTTAAAGTTATATATGTGTAGTGTATCAACTATCTGGTATCCATAACACAAGCCTCGTAACTTACCATGGAACTAGATGGTGCTGTGTGATAATGCCCCAACATATTTATTTATTTATATATTCTGATGGGAAATCATTCGCAAAATCTATTGTAGGACGCGACATAATAAGAGCTTGATCGAAGCAAAAGCTGGTCGCTTTAATTTTTGAAGTTTTAAGTGTTCTTTGTATAAATGTAATTTTCATCGAAATCTTCATCCCGATATCTTTAGATAATATTGGTACATGATAACAGTTTATCTCCGGTATCGAGGCCCGTGCTACTATGTATTGCTATGGACTTAGGAATTAAATTGATGCACTTGTCCCACTTTGTACGGCTGTATTTTATATGTTAAGCTGATAATGAATCACGAATGTAGTGACGTTATTTTTTACATCTTTAGAGAAATATTCAGTGGAGTGATTCTACACGAGTCGAAATTAAATTAGACATCTATTGTCATATTATGATGTATTGTATTATCTTTTAATCAAACGTATTGCCAATTAATCAATTATTAATCATATTTATTTTATTGTATACTAGCGACTTAACCTCGCTTCGCTCGGTTGTGTCTCTAGGTACGTTTTAAATATATATAAATAGATATTAGCCAGCGTTAGCCATGTAAATAAAAAAAATGTGATTTTTTTAATATTTAAATAGTTATATTTACTTAGTATTTATGGTTTAATTTAAAAGTCATAATCAAAAGGCACAAAAAACATGGAACCCTTGTAATTTCTTCATTCGTTTGTCGTGTGGTAGATTATTGGTCTATCTGGTACTACTGTCAGATTTTGTTAGTGAACCGGCTGCGAAATTAACTTTGTTTCTCATAGGAATACTATGAAATAAAATGAATATCGTAGATGACTAAATATTTTATTGTACTTTTGACGTAACAAATAATGTACATATTATATTCAAATGTAAATGTTACAGAACCTTCGGTGCGCACGTCTATCTCGCATTGGAAAAAGCTTCTTTTTTTTCCAAGCTTTATCTTATAATCTATACTATATAATATTATAAAGAGGCTGAGTTTGTTTGTTTGTTTGTTTGTTTGTTTCTTTGTTTGTCAGAAACTACTAAGCCCATTTCAAAAATGTCTTTTGCATCAAGCCAAAGGGTTTTTTTGTAGTTTTAACGCAAGCGAAGCCGCAAGTTCTGCTGGTACACTATATCTTCTTACTACCTGAGTCATTAGAGTTATTCTTGATACTATAATTACATTATGAAATTGTAATTTGCTATCTAATTGCAATCGATTCGAGTGATACAATCGTTGTTACGTCAATTGGATAGATTTGCGTCACAAGATAGTCTTACGGAGATACGAGGGAAAAGCGATTGTCCCGTATTATAACGCTTGTATTCAAATATCTGGTCATTTAATTTTTTTTAAGTATTATTTGTGTAAATGTAAACACAATTGTTATTATTTTTGATATCAACACAGTTGTTATTGTTTTTGATGCGATCAGATTAATGAGATGATTTATTTTCGTTCGATTTAAAGGTTTACGCATGCAATTATTGCTTAAATTCTTAAGATTTTGAAGTAAAATGTAATATTAGCCTACGATATGGTATAGTATAAAATGCTAATTGTAATAGGTACAATATAACAAATCAAATCTATTAACACTCATTAAGGACGACCATCCGTCCATCCACCAATCATTTTAATTTTTAGAACGTTAAAAATGAAATTTGTCGATGAAATACAATTATCAAAAATAATAAAAAATATTCACGTAAAAGTGTCAAGTGTATGATTATAATTTGTGTTCTTTTTATTACTATTTATATTCAAGTATTTTTTATTTTCAGAGCGGATTATCGTCGGCAGAATCGAAACTCGCAGAAAGGACTCTAGATGAAATTAAGGTAATTAATCAATAAATTGCTAGAAATAAGCAAAAAACAGTGATGGAATTGAAACTATGCCCTTTGGTGTGAGTGAAACGCGTAAAGTTAATAATTCATTCAGCGCCATCTTTGTACAAATGCAAAAACTATTTGGAAAAGCATTATAAAAAAGCGCCATCTATTATGTTGTATTTATAACGCAGTTGTAATTCGAACATAGTTCGATAGAGGGCAGTGTGCTTATAAGTAATTTAGCCATTTTGCTATCAACATATTTCGGTTTGGGAATATTTGATAAGGTTTTTACTTCAATGCTGCTGTACTGCCAAATAGTTTAAAAACATGTCAAATTATTTATTGAAAAATATTACACTATTACGGTCGGTATGATAATTACGTTATAGATAAAAATATCTATTACATTAAATATATATTAAATATATATATAATTCTAAGACTTAATATATTTCCGCTTTTATTTAAACAGCGCCATCTATAAGCTATTATTATTAAGAACTAAACCCTCAAAGAAAATTATCTCATTTTGTTTAAATCAAACTTCTATATTACTAATTGGGATCTTCAACATATTATTCTACATCCGTGTGCTCTCTGTATACTTCAGTGACTTCCGAAATAAGTTGCCCTTGTGGATGTTGTAGAATATGCAGCGTTATCTACACTGTTATTTGTACTATAAAGCAGAAAACTTTTATCTGTTCGAACTTACTAATGTCCGGAACCACCGATCAGATTTGAAAGTTGCTTTTGCATTTTGTAGCCCATAGCCATTAGCCACTCACCTTCGCTTCGTTCGGGTTCGTCCCTGGGTAGATTCCCCATACAAACTTTCATCCCCCTTTTAATAGATTATTTCCGGGATATAAACTATCCTATGTCCTTCCCAGGGTCTCAAACTATCTTCTTACCAAATTGCATCTAAATCGGTTCAGTAGATCCAGAGATTACCCCCTACAACGTCACAAACTCACAACTCACAAACTTTACCTCTTTATGATATTAGTATACATTTATTGAGAATAGTTATAGCGTACCTTATTATTACATTGCGACCCTTGGGAGCGAAGCTTTAAGCTATAATACATAAATAAGCTACAAGTGCAGCCTTTGATAAAAATTAGTTTATCATTTTTTTGTTGTTTACGATTATAATTTTTTTATTTTTAGTGATTTTTGCACTAAAGACGGTTACTGTTCCGTTCCATAGAATACATAAGAGTAAAATATCGCTTGAAATGAAATTGAGCTCCAAAAATCCAAGATTAGTCTTTGTGTCGTCCGCGAGTATCAAAACAGATAGTAACCCTAGCCAAAGTCAAAATAACCTTGTAATAACATGAACAAATGTATGAATTTTTCAAAGTTTGCATTATCACTGCGTGTCGGGCGAATCGTTTCGCACATACACAGTGTAAGATGCGAGGTGACGTCAAAGAGCTTGAAGTGCACTCGACGACCACCCAGCGCGTGTAAATAAACTTTAATAGCGCCGAATCGAAAAACTCTATGTGACTGGAAATGTTTTGTTATGTTATACTTTATGGTGTTTATTGTAGGGTTGCCAAAGAAGATTAGATGTCTTCGGGATAGAAGGTACATACATAAATACATTTTTGTTCCTAATGTGATTATTTGATATATATAATCATTTTCATGCAACTTGCACAGACTTAAAAATATAAAATAAAAACGTAAAATAGTTTTAACAACTGAATACCGTAAAACCATGAAGTAGATACCTACCTAATTAAAAGTATGAAGTAGTATATGAAATATTTTACATATTGTTTTTCTTATTATAGGTATTTATATTTACTAGCGACTCACCCTCGCTCCGCTCGGGTCTGTCCCTAGTTACGTTTTAACGTTTAGTATAGATTTCTCACAGGTGAGATATTTTCCTGCAGTAAAAAGTATCCTATATGTTGACCCGTATAACCAAATTTCATCAAAATCTGTCCAGTAGTTTTTTCGTGATGCGTTTCCCGGCAGACAGACAGACAAAAATTCTAACAACTAGATACTGCCCCTGTATCGATAATAATGACTATTTCAATAAGAGTTTCCAAAAAATATGTAATGTACAGATTTGACTCAGAATTTTATTATACGTATATATTTATATTATATAAAAGCGATTAGAACGAGAAGTAGATATGTATATACACATTCGATCCAATTATTCAAAATGTCCAAGAACCAAAAGCTCGTAAAATCCAAAAATATTGTTATATACCAAAAAGACTCCAAAGGATAATCTATGCTCTACTAGATCGAGTAAAAATTGTATTATAATATAGGTAACATAATTGGCTTAATGAAAAAGTTGTTAGTTTTTATATTTTATTAGATTTGGTCCGCTGCTTTGCTAGCTCGCTACATGAATGAAAATTTGTGCTAATCCGAGGTGGATAATGTAGTACCTAACTGTAATTTATAACTAAACTGGCAACTCACCCTCGCTTCGCTCGGGTTCGTCCCTAACGAAACACAGACATAAATTTATCCCACGGGAACCGTGCTTACATTTTTCCGGGATAAGATTAGGCTATGTGCTATTCCAGACTATAATCTATCCCTGTGCCAAATTTCATCTAGATCCGTTCAGATGTTCTAGCGTTTTTATACATCCATCCAAACTTTTGCATTTATAATCTATATATACCTATAATAATATATATATATATATAAAAGAAAGTCGTGCTAGTTACACTATTTATAACTCCAGAACGGCTGAACCGATTTGGCTGAAAATTGGCGGGGAGGTAGCTTAGAACCCAGAGACGGACATAGGTTACTTTTTATCCCGGAAATCATCCCTTAAGGGGGTGAAAATGGGAATAAAATTTTGTATGGGAAAGCAAGCTAGGGACGAACCCGAGCGAAGCGAGGGTGAGTCGCTAGTATTAAATATTTTTTTGGAAAATTTTATTGAAATAGACATTATTATCGATACAGAGGCAGAACCTAAAGTTTATAGAATTTTTATCTGTAGGTTTCTCTATGTCTGTCTGTCTGTGGCCGCATCACGAAAAAACTACTGGACAGATTTTGATGAAATTTGGTATGATGATAGCTGGTTATCTGGGTGAACATATAGGATACTTTTTGCTGCGGGAAAATATCTCTGAGCTAACAAGCTAAAGTGACAAGAGACGATCCCGAGTGAGCGAGGATGAGTCGCTAGTATTATATAAAAATTATGGGATTAAAATTCAAATTACATGATAATAATGGCATAATTGGATTATAATGGCATAAATCTACGAAATATCTATGTTTAAAAATAGACATAATACTAATACAAGACATTTTCAAAACATCGAATAAATAAACTAATAATTGTTTCTAAGAACTGGATGTACATAGCACATACATTCTCGGAACGTTAACAATATTAAAAATAGCTAAAGAACGTCATTTTGAACCTATAAATAATTGATAAATACATACCATAAAATTACTCAATGTAACTTGTGCTTTTTATGAATTGATTAAATCTATACTAATATTATGAAGAGGCAGAGTTTGTTTGTTTGTTTGTTTGTTCGTTGAACTACTAATTCGATTTGAAATATTATTTTTGCATTAGATAGCACGTTTATTGAGGAAGGCTATAGACTGTATATCATATAGTCTATCTATTCCATACTTACCGTTAACGTACCTAGGGACGAACCCGAGCGAAGCGGGAGTCGCTAGTAGTATATAGTCGAACTTATCTATTTTGTTTAGATTAAAGTATCCGACAATGTCATCAGTGCTGCTTGTTTTTGTTAGGTTTTTATAAAATAATTGTATTATATTCATTCGTTTATATTCGGAGGGTTGTTTTCGTACCTCGCAGCGGATTATAAAATCACCGTGAGTAGGTAAAGAGCGGAACATCGATTCATCCAAACGCGAGGGCATTCGTATCATCCAATAGTTTGATGGGGCCGACCGTTACACCGTTGTATTATTGTGTTGTTTGCTTAAATAAATTAAAATTAATTAATAGGATGTAGATTGTGATCTTTTTTCTGTTTATTTTAGAATATCGTTTGTTTAATTTTTGTAGAAATTATATACATAATTTATTAAGTATATAACTTAGGTTATTAAGTGTATATTTCTTCGCTCGAGTTACTTTGATTTTACTTTAAAGAAAGAGATACAATGATTAGGTATATTTGTAATGAAATCATATGCATTTCTCTATTAAAATTGTCATATAAAATTCTTGTTATAACATATAAGGTTTATTCCGAAAAATTACAAATACGATGGTGTAACACGTACGTTAGCCGGTATTTTGTAGTCTTTACCGTCCCCCACATCGGGCATTTGAAATATGAACGGGTGCGTAGGGGTGGGGCGTTGTGTAAATATTGGCAGATGTGAGTGGATGGCTGCAGCCAGGCGCCACCCCTGCGAGTACGTCCCGCTCCTACGTTTCACCGATTTTGAATCGTAACCGACTTTATCGTGTTTTAGACCTGTGATGCTTTATACCGTAACATATACGTTCGTATAGCCATAATATGGAATATAAATATCCGAAAATTGTACTTAATTGTTTGAAAATAGTCTTTAAAAGACGATTTCTATTAATAATATGTATAATTATATTATTTATTACATTAGAGTGTTAATGGCTTTTACTTCTTTTGGGATTTCTTAGAAAATTTAAATCCTCAATTCTGTTTTTCACTTTAAGCGCAGTTTTACCAGACGCCTACAGACTGATTTAAGATCTCCGATAATCACGCGTTAACCAAATATATCGTAGGCAAGTTTGTGCGTTCCATTAGCGCCAGGCGCATACCGATCGTAATAAGTTAATTGTGCAGAAACTTCACACCAGTAATGCATTGTTGCGCTAAACCACGCTAAACATTACCTATGGCGCTAACCAAACTTGTTTCGTATCCTGTGCGAGAGAGATTATTCTTAGTAACACTGGATGCTGTGGAAATTACTTATCTCGCTTATTTTCTTTCATTCCTTACAATAAAAAGCAGCGTCTTTTTATCTGTTATTTCGTACGTTCATAGTCCATGGCATAGCAATGGTCCAATTTACTTGGTTCTAACCAATTTATTTTAAACGTTTTGTTGCTTTTCTTAATTGGAAAGCAAAATTTTGATGTGCGCGGGTTTCTGGAGACGAGCAAGGTGTAGTTTGGATTTGTTTAAAGTGAGGATTGGTCTAATGAGGTGCTTAGTTCAATAAGCTAGTACCTAACTGAATCATCCAATGTAACTAATAAGATATGTTATTAAAAGAGAAAATTTGCAAACCAAAGTAGCTGTAATTTACGATGTATTTTAGAAATTATGTTTAATACTTCAAAATAAATAATTTAAGATTTTAGAATTAGATAAGCTTATATTCTTCAAAGGAATAAAAACAATCTCTATGAAGAATAAATCTTACATCTACCTTACGTAGGTGTTTTCGCTATTCTTGTTTATTTGACTCATGAAATTAACTACACTTTGTTTAATGAAGTTCATTCACTCAGCATAGTTAGTGAGATTCCGGGTATCATATACCTATATAGGAAAATTTCTTTGTCACTTTCCCAGAGAAATGTTTAGGACGTGACTCTACATGTTTGGGGGTCGCGGCGCAACAATGATAGCTAAAATGTCATCTGCATAGATCTGTGGCTAGAGTGGACCTGAATAGAAGTACCTAGATGGTGTTGACTGAGAATATCAATCGATTTTGCATTCTTGTTGTAATGTGTGCTAGAATATTTGTTACTTGTTGCGTTTTTCAGAATTTAGGTAAATTAATATAATAGACCAAGAAAAAACCCTTAAAATTGGACTCAAAAATTTAAATTTAAATATTTCACACGAAACTAACGATTTATACAAATACACCCAACAAATATCCATATAAATTAACTATCCATAGTAGCGAATAAAAGCTCTACAATATGCATTAGAGCTTTTTGGTCCTATTATCAGAATAAATTTTTATCTCGTTTTCATATAAATTTAGAGTTATTTATACTATAGCCCAAATACGTCCAGACGTTCAAGCGTAAAGGAATAACAAACATACACACACAGAGACACGTACGTACAAACTTTCATGTTTATAATAGTCGTCATATATTGTCTTTTAGTACGCCATTTAATACGACACGTGACACGATCACGTTGACACTGACATAAAGAGAAACAAACAAAATTAGCCGGCTTGACGAGCGTCTGTCTGTTTGCACGCGTATTTAGACATAGCCGTGGACTCCTTTAATCTTTACGCGACATTGATACACGCGTTGGTAACGAAAATTTCTTAATGGAATTTGTCGTTTCCTGAGGCCTGTGCTATTTGTACTTTAGTTATTTATCTATATATCTAGTATACTAAAAGTATTATATTGGCGCTGATTAGATTTTCCTAGTGACTCGATTTCTCAATTAACGAAATCAACATACAGTATACTTGACAGTAACAGTTCTAATTATTACATCGTCTGTCGTATTTCAATCTTGTTTTTTTATGTATACAGATAAATAAAATTGAAGTGCCTGTTTGTAATGTAAAATGACAGCTTTTTTACTAAATGCATATAAGAAAAATACAAATTGTAAATTGTCTGCCTGTTTTTTTCCGGATAATATCCGAAACGGTTGGACTGATTTTGGCGGAACTCTCGCTGGCAGATACCTGATATTATAAGGAGTAATTTAGATTACTTTTATTTTAGAAAAAGAATGAAATTTGGGTTTTGTTCACAAAAATTAAAACGCCTAGGGACGCACCCGAGTGAAGCGAGGGTAAGTCCTAGCGACTACCAAACAATATACACAAATAGTGACTTTATCAATTGACGTTAATTCTGCTACTTGCTATTTATATGGAATCTGTGTAGTAGTGTCTAAGATATCTGTTTTTCATATTTATAAACATGTAATTATAACTTTCTAAACTACAGACAGTATATTATATGAGTAAATGTTCATTTCAAGATTTTTCAGAATCAGTAAATGTTATATCTATACAAAGTACCTACCTACAGTATGTATCTAAGTCTTCAAAAGGCTTCAAATTTATTCAATAAAGTTCGTATATTACAGAATTTACAAGAAATTGCTGGTTTATAGGTCCTTTAGATACACGCGGTCAGCAAGTCCCGTCCGTGACTGCGCATACATTAGCCCGTAGCCGTACGGTCTTTTGCTAGTTGTCTGTCCCACTGCTTAAATACTTCGTTGTACCGAAATAGATTTCGGATTTATCTTATATTTTTGTTATGTCACTTGACATTTAGTGAAATTAAATATTTATAAACAAGATCTTGGCAATTTATAAGTGCTATATACTGAAATATAACTAACTATATGTGTATTGCGTTTTTCACGAACGACGCAAATAAAAGTATTGCATTTTGTGAAAACCATTTCCAACATGTTAACCACTTGTCTTACAGTGAAGGAAAACATCTTGAGGAAACCTGCATGTCTGAGAGAAACTAGCAAGTTTTCGAAAGACATGTGAAACCCGCTAACTGGCACTTGGCCGCCGTGGTCCCCGTCGTAATGAAGGGAGACCTGTGCCCAACAGTGGGACGTTAAAGAGTTGTATACATGTTTTGAGAGATAGATACAAGAGTTATTCGTATGTCTGTGTAAAATTATATTATATTATATGTATACGTGTTTGAAAGCTTTTAGGGATTTGCTGAATACTTTAAACACGATAAAAGTCTAAGTGTGCTCGCCGTAATTTTATTCACATTCTAAACTTCAAGTCTGATTTGATAAATAATTTATTCTAAGTTATAAACTGTAAAATATATCTGTCTGTCGGTCAGTTTCATTACACATCAGCTGTGAACGTCTTAGACGGATTAAATCTAGATTAATAAGTGGAAATCCACTAGCAGTTGCTAGTATTTTTTATATTATGTAATAATATTTTGTTACAGAGTGCCCTTCGTGCCTCAGAAGCTGACAAGCGACGCATGATGGATCGAATTGTAAAATTGGAGGACGAATTACGTGTACTTAGGATGGCCAATAGGTAAATTAAAAATAGAAGATAACTGAAAGCTTTATATACCAATTTATTACATATATTTAACACTTTCTTAAATTTACGCTATTATTTTGAAATTTTAAATGAAACGATCTTTTCGGATTTTGTCGTGGTTTAATTTTATATTTTCGTTTCCGTCGCGTCGTTTCGAATGCCTTACAGAAAACATGCCGGAGACCAAAAAGGATAGTGTCATACAGATTATATTAATTTATTTTTTATTTTAACAGATAGGTAGTTTATTGATTCACAAAACTATTGGTTACGTCACATCGATTGGGTTGCGATTATTAATATACAAAAACTTAAGATACAAAATTAGCGTCACAATAGGGTCATCTAAAAGAGGTCCACAATTCAAAATTGAGCGCTTTTTCTAAATCTATTTTGTTCATTGCTTTGCGGATAAAAACGCAAATTGTTTCGTTTAAAAAAGTACTTTATGTAGTTCTTTGGATTGGAAAACTTTATAACAATTACAATCTTTTATAACCTGGCTAGATCACACTGTAAGGGATGACAGGTACGATGCTGCTTAAAAAAATTAAGTTAACATAATTTCAAAATATTTTCGTTAAATTTTTTTTTAACGAAATATAGAGGAGGTACGTGATTTCTTGGCCAATTATAAACAACTGGCAACTGAAACTCGTTTCGCTCGGGTTCGTCCCTAGTGAAAAACAAAAACAAATCTATCCCACAGTAACCGTACATTTTTTCGATATAAAAAGTAGCCTATGTGCTATTCCGGACTGTGCCAAATTTCATCCAGATCCGTTCAGCCGTTCTGGCTTGATTGAGTAACAAACATCCATCCAAACTTTCGCATTTATAATATTTACGTGATTAATGGGATTTTATTGAATGTTGAACTGAGTAAATATGTATATATTTATTTTAAAAAATATATAATTTCCATACAGCTACGAATCCAATGAGTCTCGTTTGAATGGCAACATAGAGGACGCAGATAGCGAACGCCAGCGTCTACGTAAAGAACTTGCGGACACGCGTCGAGCGAAGCAAAGTATGGAGGAGCAGGTCCTTAAGTGAGTTCTCTCATTACTATTAATTAATTAGCTTTATATATTTTACTCAATATTTAATAGAATCATTCTCATATTTTTGTTATTACTGTAACATCTTTAGTAAAATATTTTAATTCTAAGGTACTACGTATAGGTACTTGGTTTATTTTTAACTCATATAATTACTATTTTCTTAATAAATTTATTAATTAATTAGAAAATTTTAAGTTTTATTTAAGAATTTACTATTTTATATATGTATGTATATGTATAAAATTATTAATTATTAATTGTTTTCAATTAATATAATACATACATATTTTATTTGCACATTTTATTTTTATCCGCACTTATTACCTAACTACCTATCCTCCTCTTTCATATCCTATTTTTATTTTTATTGAGCAATATTTTTACTATATTTTAAGGCTAACCTCAATTGCAGACTCGAACGTCTAGTTACGCAGCTACGTTCAAAATTCAACGGTCTACAAATAACGAACGGACCCGACTCTTTGCCGAGCGAACCCGAACACGACACGCGCTCGCGGCGCAACAACTCGACCAACAATCTGACCAATCTGACCAACATGACTAATTTGACCAATCTGACCAATACTACCAACCCAACGGTCGTATTCGGACCTGTAACTGATTTGTAGCGAATCGAACTCTGGCATTTTATATGCTACGCGGTTACGGATTTGTTTAAATCCATTAAGCAAAGATTTAGATCAATAGATTAGCCCTAGATACGGTTATTTAAAACTCTTGCAAGTGTATATTGAGATGAGTGAGCTCACACATCCCGTGTCAGTCGCTCTTAGACTACAGTGTAAGATGCGCTTTAACTTCTTTGTTTTTGTAAAATTGACTAAAATCCAGCGATAAAATATACTCTAAGGAAATACTTCAATAATTAATAAAAGTCCCGTAGGGCGAAAGGTGTTAATGTGTTGTTTGTGTGTTTTAATGTGTTTATACACTTAGTAAAATTAATTACGATTTATACAATATTGTCTATTATTTATTGCGAAAAGAGCATTTTCATAACAGATAATAGAGTACAATTTTCAATGTTAATGAGAGAGTGTAATATTTTGGTATTCAAATTCCTTACGTTACCATGGAAACGCATAAATAAACAAATCACAAAAACATGGCCATGTTTAGATGCGACACAACGGGCATATCTAGAGATATAAATCTTTGCCACTAAATATAAATATGGCAAAAAGATAAGCAATAGTTTCTTATAGAAATATTACGTATTATTTGTAATGCCACGGGTGTGATTTTTGTTTGTTAGATTTTGTTGAATCTCAGTGTACCTAGCTAGCACTATGTTAAAGTTTTATCAATTTTTGCTATAATGTTATTCATTGCATTACAAATTAATGTCCAATTATAATATAATGAGCACAAAATTATCATTTTTTTTGCAACAAATTATCTAATTTATGTTGAGAACATAATCGTTTAAGTTTTCTTCTATTATGCCTCTGTGAACGGTATTACGTACTTACAAAATGATTGGAAATCACGAATTTTTAAAATTGCTCACTTTTTACTGTGATTTTATTTAATTATGTGATTAATTACTACATGCGATTACAATTTGACATATTATAAGATGCACAATTTGCTTACTTATATACTTGCACTACTCTTTTTTATACGTTATACATTTATATATTATTATATATTATAATCAATAATGAGAAGTATAAAATTCATTTTTTTCTAGCGGCCATGACTTTTAATTATATATCAGCGTAATTATATTATTGCGAATAGTTTTTTTATGAGCGTTTGCGTAATTCACTCTAAGCTGTTTACGAATACATTTGTGGGTATAATTTCCTCGATATAAAGGCGTGATTGTTGATTCTTATAATAACAGACTCACTTTTGACACTTTGATATTGTCATTTTCTATTAGGAAGAATTTACACTATCGATTTTCCTCTAAATCTTCGTCCATTTTTTTTGCTTCATATGTAGTGCGATTAGTTTTTACATACATAGCAATGTTTAAATGTTTATAAAAAATTGATTTGGTATTCGCTAAGGTCACCTTTTATTTGCTGACGTTCGTATAGGTCGTCCAGTTTTACGGTCATTGCAATTATCATGAATCTGTGTGTCGTATACATTTTTTACGTTTATTATTACCAATTTGATTTTGTAAAAAACACATCACATTTATAAAAAAAAAATGAGTTCATTTGTTTTTGCCTTTTATTTTTTCTTAGACTTATAAACTTAAATGTTAATGGCATTATACACCTAACGTCCTACTATTGAAATTATTTTGTTGTTAACTGAGTAACTATTAAATATATGCTGTAGTAATTTACTATAAATCGTTATTTTCTAACATGACTCGATTTTAAAAATAAAGTGTGAATATTGTGTGATGCCAGATAACAAATATATTGTCTAAATACTCAAATAGAAGTAATTGATGTTTGTCTGTCTACATGTAAATGTTAATTAATATATTATATATGTTTATATAATATGTATATATTTAACGGCCATCAGTGCACATTGGGTTCTTGATTTGCATCATTTAGTAAGGCAATAGTGGCGAGTTCGATTCTCGCATGAAAATTTGTTTATTTATTTAAAAATATATAACCGTGAAAGTTTGTAAAACGTTGGGATGTTGGTTGTTTAATGTTGAATAGATTGCGATGGAACTTTTGATTATATGTATTATGTTTTTGAGTAATACAAAATACTTTTTATACTGGAATATAAATAATTATTAATTACCATGGGATATTAAGTTGTTTCAAAAAGTCATACCCCTTTGTATGACTAGTTTAGACTTAGTGAGCTATAAAAATTAGATACTTCAAATAGTTTCAGTCTAGTTAAAGCGTCAGGTTGGGTCGTTATTTAGATTTCAATAGTAGATTTATTTGTGCCTAGTAGAAAAATGAGAGAAAAGCTTATCTTGATTTATCTATTAATAGGAAACGTATGATGAAAAATAATTTATGATTTCATTAAATTATGTATTGAACAAACAATTTGTAGCGAAACGTTCTGTGTATTATAATTTCTGCCTATGACTATCGCCTCGTTTTCAACTAAAAGTCCCCAAACTGTCAAATATCTTTTTGTTTTAATAAATATTTAAGTTCCAAACGAGAATTGAATTGACGACTTCCATTTTTTAAATATATTTAGGGCTAATGTGTACCCAATACAGACATCACATAAGGTATACTACCCTCTAATCGTTTATAATGCTTGTATATTATAAATAAGTATTTAAAATGTTTAAATAATAATTAATTATTAACTTATTTGATTAAATTGGTGTGTAAAATTGTTATTGCATCTGTAACTTGCAATAGTCTGTCAATTCTGCTCAAAAAGAAGCAATGTAGATTATATTCATTTACTACGTAGACAATAATGTAAATAAATGTATACCTATAATATCTATAAGTAGATAATTATGTTGGTACCATGAGTTATTACTTATTTAAAACGAAGTAGAGATCTTTTTATTACGCCTGCCCTGTTAGATGAGTTGACAAAGTTTCTACAATCGCTAATAGAAAACTATAAATATAAGGGAATTACATAATTAGCGATAGCGATTATAGAATATCTAGAGTCAATCCTTCGTTCTAGTCCGTAGACGCATTTATATCTTCAATTCTTCCATAATAGAAACGTAGTTTTCTAAAAACCTCCCGACATTTGAGTTCTTCACTGGAATGAATAATTTAATTAGTTAGAGTGGAATTGTTAAAAATGGAAATTGACTTTGCAATGACAAACTTTTTAATGAAAATGACAGTATAAAGACATTGTAGAATAATGTTATAGATTAATTAATAATTCTTACTCAAATCATTCTATAAATGATGCATAAAAACTAAATGACGTTACTAGCAATAATAATAGCAATAGAATTTGAAATAAAACTATCTATTTCGGATTTATTTTGATTTTTGGTTCCCGACGTTTCCAATGCTTTACAGCAATCATGCTCACGGGAGAGACTAAGGTGTTAGACGTCTCAAAGGTCACATATAGTTGTTACAGTCAGCAAACATCAAAATAAATCCGCGCGAAAAATCCGAAAAGATAGTTTTATTTAAAGTGTTAAATATTCGCGTAAATCTAAGAAAGTACCTATTAGGCAATAGAATTAAATAAAACGAAATTTTCTTTTTTTAATTATATAATAATGTAAAATATTTGACAATATATTTTCAATTGTTCTTTATTAATATAACATTTTTACTGTTTGTCATTTTATACCGCTTTTCCCGTTACTAACCACCGACAACTAGTATAGACTGATATAAGCTATTTATTAATTATTACATATAAGTTGTATACCAAATCGAAATAAGTATAGTTTAGGTTATAATAGATATATTAACTTATTAATAATATACATTCACTACTGTGTTGTATTAGATTTGTAAATGTGAATGTCAGGCTTTGTGTTAATTTGTAGGTATGCTTTCTTTCAAACTTTGTCGTCCTTTTTTTCTAAGTTTTATTAAAAAAAATCATTATTACCTAATAGATATTTGCACATACACATATTTGACATTTTGAAGGAAATTATTTTTTTCTAATTTGTTCGCGGTTTTTGTTATTATTGTGATTATTGGTTGTAATTTTTGACGTTTCGAATGATTTATAGCAAACATGGTATCGGGAAAGACTAAAGTATTTGAAGTCTCAAAAATCATAGTAACTACAAATTGTATTTACCCACAAATTTTTATACAATAATTTGAAATAATGGCACCGGTTGGCTATATTTATACTGGGCATTCGAATCGTTTTGAACGAAAAATTCAAATGGCGAAAACATGGGATAGAAATGTTTCGTTTAAAATGTTCATTATTGTTAAGTAAGACTTTATATTACGTTGAAAGTTTAAAATTACGTAGGTATATTTCTTTTTGTTTAAACTGTATACATTTTAATCTCGCCTTTACGCTAATATGTTTTCTATTAATCCTGAAACTTAAATACTATAATATTATAATTAAAAGAACGTATGTATATAATTGATTGTAATTAAATTATCGTATTATATAATAAATAATGGTGCCTTATTAGTAATCATGTCCGCCCATGTGTAGTTGGAGAAGTAATTGTTGTGTACTGTGCCATTTTCCTAATGCTGTCTCTAGTATCTGCTTACTACTAATATTAATGGCGAAAAATGGTACTTATTACCTAATATGACTAAAAAATTGTATGTCGATTTATATTGTAAAGATGTCGCACATTGCTCAGTAAATAAGCTTTGATAATATGAGCCCAATATTTGTATTTGTTAGAAATACTTACGTTTAATCATTTTTGGTTTAGAATTTTTAAATCTAAATATTATAATAGATAATAGATTGTAAAATTATAAGATGTTAATTTTAGAACTTTCTGGAAGCGATAAATAAGCAATATGCGACATCTTCTATATTAACAGAATTGCCTGTATTTATTTTAAAAATTATTAAGCTTTCAAAATACCAAATAAAAGGTCTCGTAGATTTAGATTTAGTTATGCACGTTGCACGACTTTTGGTGCGTGGTTCTTTTATAATACTCATAAACCATTATTTGTCTCAAGTGTCACAATTTATTTGACTGGTAAAGGTTTTAATA